ATGTTAGAAACTTATGATATTGATTTATTTTTCATCTATTTATTTTTTTGTCTTTGGTCTAGTTTTTTCTTTTTATTAAGACTTTTCATTTTTCTTAGTTTTAGTTTATTTCGTCACAGTTGTAAGTTTTCAACATATTTAATTTTTTTTCTTCAGTTATTTTTCTTCTATTTTCATTTTTTTTACTTTTAGGCTTTTATGTAAGTGTTGTAAGTTTTCAACATATTTTTGTTGTAAGAAAGGTAAAAATAGATAGATTAGTTAAGTTTATAACGGTGCTAAGAATATGATTAGATAGAGAAAATCATAAGGAATAAGTGATAAATAAAAGCAGGTGTATAAGTAATTCAAAGAAAAATCATAATGGAATTTTTGGACCTTTTCCTCAAATAAAATATGTAATCCTAATTAAAATAAAAGATAAACAATGTAGACTTAATTCAAATAATTAGATAAAGCTTCTAGATGTAATGCATCAGTTAGTCTTTGTATTTTTTGGAAAAACTCTTTGCATGTTTGGGCTTTATAGTCTTTGGACCTAGTATAGCTGTGATTGTGGATTTGTGGGCCGAATAACTGGACTTGGAGTTGGACCAGAAGATTGGGCAACATGCCTGTATCTTGGTTTTGTCATAATTGACTGAATTTTTAACTGAAACTGAGGCAAAAAAAAATTAAAATATTATTATTTTAATAAATAGTTGTTTCGAAGACAGTTTTTTCTAAACATGATTATTACTTGATTAATTTCTTATCATCAATTATTTTCTGTACTAATTGTTGAATTTTTTTTAAAATTAATATTAATATTCTTTGTTTAGAAATCAACATAATTTTTTTTTGAATTTAATATTTATCAGTATAAAATAAGAGAAAAATATTTATCCTTTTAAAAAATAATCATTTTAATTAAAATTGATATTTTTTTATTTAAAATCTAATTTAAAAGAAAATCAATTATTTTTTTCTATTTATCTAACTTAAAATGACACAATTTTATGTTCTTTAAAAAAGATAAATACAAAATTCATAAAATAAATATAATAATTTGAGTATTGTAGCTAATGAATTGATATAGCTTTGCGGTTGGTGTTACACCACATGTCTTAGCCTCATGGACATTCTTTCCATTTTCACAACTGAAACCTTAGAAAAAGAAAAACTAGAGCTTGTTACACAAAACAAAAAAAAAACTAGAGCTTGACCCGCGTGTCACGTGATTGAGGCTGCACAAAACGAAAAAAAAATAAGAAACACAATGGGACAAAAGATAGTGGGTTCACATTCGTAGCAGCCCACAGAATGATGATGGGAAGCAGCAAACCACGAAGATGTGCGACGTAAAGTAATGGGAATGAGCATGGGGTTGGAGAAGTTTCCAAACCAGTCAAATTACATCTATCCTGTGAGAAAATTAAGCTTAACGTGAAGGACCCAAGCATTGATTGATAGAAATCGTCTTTGCTTTTTATCATAATCATTTTTATCAGGGTTAACCATTATGATTTTCCTCTACACAAGTATTTTTGATGCAGCTTTAATTCATGAGTCTCACTAAAATAGATTAGGGGATGTATTTGCAAGACACTATAATGCTGAAGTCATATTTTGTGTATGTAGAATTTTCATATAGAAGAAAATGTGTACTTTATGTTTAGCACATTCATATCTATAGTGAAAAAATAACCATCTTTGAGAGATGTCCCTCCAAGTTTCCTGCAAATGACGAGGCAACAAGCTATTTTCATTGGTCCTTGTTGTAGGTGGCTTGAGATAAGGTTTTTGCATAAATATATCGACAGTGGAGTTGCAAAAGCAGCCTTTGTTGACTAAAATATTTTCTTCATGGTGAAGGCTTTAAATGTGGGTTTTCTTTGTTGCGAATACTTCACAAGTGGGCCTTAGTATATTTATTACAAATCAGAAGTCCCCTAAATTATTGCTTATACTAACAACTTGAGTAGCGAGATGAATAAGTTCGTGAGATGAATTGTTTGTTTGTCAACTCGAAAGATTCATTTCATTTTGCTTTTATTTTGTACTATGATTTGTATCTATTGGTGCTTCTGAGTTCCACAATATTTGTGCCCTGCATATTATATATACATTTGTAATTCATATGTTTGCATACCTTTCTATGCTGCATACTTTTGTTTCATTCTAGTGAATCTTTTCTGTTTGCGAGTTGTTTCCGCGGGATGATTTGTTGCTTTAGTATTCAAGTTCTTGAATGCATTTCTTTGTCTCAAGGTTTACACCTTAGGGTGGAATTCAATTCTTCATTCTTCGATGCTTTAATATTCAGGCCTTTAAATACTAATCTTTCAGGGCCTTAGATTAACGTTCAATTCTTCACACTTGGATGCCTAAGGTTCAGGCCTTAAGTTCTAATTTGGGGTTTGGGCCTAAGATTAGCGATCAATTTTCCATGTTTGAATGCCTAAGGTTCATGCCTTAAGTACAAATCTAGGGTTTATGCCCTAAAGTAGCATCAATTCTTCGTTTCTTTGTGGGGTTTTGCCCCAAGTTCATTTTCTTTCCGCAGGATGTCTCTGAGTGCTAGACGGTGCCAATGATCAGAACCATTTTTATCTAGGTTAACTATGATGATCTTCCTTTACACAAGTGTTTTGATGCAGTTTTAACGTATGAGTCTTCACTAAGACAAGTTGGGAGATATACCTACAAAATAGTGAGACGCTCAAGTCAGATTTTGTGTAAGTAAATTTTTCACGTAGAAAAAGATATGTACTTTATGTTTAACACATTCATATAGTGGATAAATAATCAACTTTGGAAGATATCCCTCGAAGTTACCTGCAAGTGATAAGACAACAAGCTATTTTCATTAGTCCTTATTGTGAGTGACTTGAGATAAAGTTTTTGCAAAAATATATCGGCGGCAAAGTTGCAGAAGCAACATGACTGAAACAACCTTTGTTAACTAAAGTCTTTTTCTTCCTGTGTAGCCTTTAAATGTGGGTTTTTTCTATGGCATAGACTTAATATATTTAGGGTAAAGTATTTTTTCTGTCAATGAAAATAAATTATTTTCGATGATCACAAAACGATATTGTTTTGTGACGAAAATTAAGGTTTTTTTTGTAATTTTAATTTATTGTAAGATTATATTAGTGTTTATCATTATAATTTTTCAATCTTACAGTTCCAAAACGACATCATTTTAAGCTCACTGAAAATAACTTTATCTCTAATGAAAAAAATACTTTCCCCGTATTCATTCCATATCAGATTGGTTTCCCAAATATCTTCACTGAATGTTTAAAAATTCAGTGATTAGTTGTTACTGATAAGCTAAACAGAGAGAGAATTGTTGACGCCTGGACGGTTATTCGTTGCCGTTGCTGTTAGTGTCAACTGTTTTGTCATGCAGAATTCGCTTCAACCAGACCATTACTTGTTTGTACGCATTATTATGTGGTGCTTAGATGATGGGTTTGAACGACTTACATTCAAGAGTAATTATTAATTTATTGTTATCACAATTTCTACTCCCGTCCATAGTTATTAAAATCGAACCGACCCAGTCGGGTTGAATCGAGAACTGGTAAATCGGTCTGGTTGAAGCAATGGATCGGTCATGCATCAAAACCGGTGCGACTCGGTCAGTTTTCATAAAAATCGGTGACCCAGTCGGTTAACCGCTGGCCCGGTCTTAAGAAAAAAAAAAAATTCCAAATTTTTGTTTTTTCAAAAAAAAATCATAATAGCCATATTTGATTTTTTTTTTGATTATTTACTTACATAAGTTATGTACCTACAACACTAATATTATCTCAATTATGTACTATGCATACAATTTTGAATTAATTTATAGTTAGAGATGTCATTTTCTGAACCTAAAGCACCATATCATGATCATTATATTTTTGTTTGATTTTTTATTTGATAATAATATGTGATTTATTATTTTTTGTATTAAAATATTTGAAATTTTTATCATTTTTTTAAATATTTGAGTATATTTATAATTTTTTAATATAAATTATAAAATTGCATATAATTACCGTGTCATACGGTTGAACTAATGACCCACTTATTGAACTAGTAACCCAGTGATCTGGTACCTCAACCGGATCAATGATCGGGTCGATTTTAATAGCATTGCTCCCATCTTTAATTTACTTTGAATGATGAATTTAATTCGAGTAACTATCTTTTTAGTTAACAAACCACAAGGACCCTTTATATTTTTTATTTTTTGATTTCTTACTTATTTTAAAAGGTATAAAAGATAGAGCTATTTAGATTTTTTAAAAATATTTGAATTTAAAAAAAATTGACTTTTGACTTTTTTTTTTTTAGAATTAAAATTTTTTAGCTTTAAAAAAAATAAATTTTTAATTTTTTTGTGACTTCTATTTTTTTTAAAAATAGATATTCAAACAAACGTTATAATAAAAGTGTTTTTTTTCTAAAAAAACAACTTTTGGTTAAAAATAATCCATCCAAACAGACCATAATTCCTTCGTTCATGATCAACTATTCTGCCCCCTATAAACAAATTCGAGAATGAAAAACAAAAACCCAAGGGAAGTATATGTATATCCGAAATTTAATTTTAAACAGTAAGCGACTTTGGGATTCTAATCTTAATTTTGTAGCATCACAATTCAGAGTCGCGACAAAAACAGTGGGAATGGGAATTGGGATTCCCACCATCACTAGTTTCACTTTTGCCGTCACATAGACTCCAATTCCTCAAAGCAAACACATCCTCAGCCTTATTTAGCATATCTCTCTTCGGTGACTAGAATATTCTTCCCTCCACAATTACCTCGAATCCACGTTGTCCAATGTGATATCGCCATCTCAGCAGAGCACGTGATCTCTCCACGTAATCCCATCAAGTATCGCCAACACCCCGAGAAATCCTACGTGGAACAACACGTATACAATCAAGCTTCCAGAGAATTTCCGAAAAGTCTGAAAATCCCAACCGTTAAAAATCTCAAGCTCGGCTCCTTCTTGGGTCAGGTTCTTTTGTTCGGAAGCACTTTCTGCTTTGTATTCTCCAAAAACAAAACAACGAAACCTCTCGTGAGGTTGAGGTTTGGACATGGCGACCCAGCGTCAACCTTCGACGTCTTCGGACGCGTTTTCGTTCCTTTCCAAGGGTTGGCGGGAGGTTCGAGATTCGGCAGACGCGGATCTCCGGTTGATGCGTGACCGAGCCAACTCCTTCAAGAACCTAGCGACGTCGTTTGACAGAGAGCTCGAGAATTTCTTCAATTCGGCGGCTCCGCCCTTCTCCGTCCCGGCCATGCGCTCTCCTCCGCCGCCACCGGCGGAGATCGAATTCATGAAGAAGCTGCAGCCGAAGCTATCGGAATTTCGGCGTGCGTACTCGTCCCCCGATTTCAGCAAGAAGGTTCTGGAGAAATGGAGGCCGAGGTCGCGGATTCGAATCGACTTGTCCGCTATTAAGAACGCAATTGTGTCGGAGGATTGGATTTCGGATTTCGAGAGAGGAAAGAGGAAAGAAGAGAGTGAAACTCAGGATTGGGAGCCAATTCGAGCCCTGAAGACTAGGCTCAAAGAGTTTGAGAAGCGCAGTTCCTCTTTTGATGGTTTCAAGAACAGTGAATTCCTTGAGAAATTCAAGGCAAGCTTGGTATGTACTTCTCTCTTCTCCCTTCTTTACGAACTTGCTTAGTATGAATTTTGGGGTTTCAGTGTGTGCTTTTACTTTTGCGTTATTTTACTCTTCAAAATTTTGGGGTTTCAGTTGTTAGTTACAATAGGGTTATATTGTTCAGTGAATTCCTTAAGAAATTCAAGGCAAGCTTGGTATGTACTTCTCTCTTCTCCCTTCTTTACGAACTTGCTTAGTATGAATTTTGGGGTTTCAGTGTGTGCTTTTACTTTTGCGTTATTTTACTCTTCAAAATTTTGGGGTTTCAGTTGTTAGTTACAATAGGGTTATATTGTTCAGTTGCTGTGCGGGTTTTTGTGACTTGTTCATGGAGAGCAGAAATATTCTTTTTTATGAGTGTAGTTTCATAAGAAAAATTTGGTTGGGTACTCTCTTGGATTTTCATGTGGCCAAAGTCATTCATTCTTTGGAGAAACAGCTTGCTTGGCTAAACCATTTTATTCGTCGAAGCATATTTTCTACTGAAGATGGTCCGTGCAATTGGAGGATTAAGGTTACCGATAGAACTTAGAAGATTTATTCCCTGTAAAAAAACCTTTCTTTTGGTGAAAGTTGTAGGAATACTGGTAGACCTTGGGTGATAGCTGTTAGTAGCTATAAACTTGCTTGTTGTGTTGGCTTGCTGTTGTTGCTACTTGTTTTAATAAATTTAATTATTCATTGAAAAGGATAAAAATATAAATTGACATAATCCTTGCAAGAGCCTCATTTTGGGGATGATTCATCGTTGGAAGAGAAGTGAGGCCAACCCATTTGTTGGTTGGGATGGTGTGGTTGTTATGGTTTACTTATTTATTTTCTGTGAATCACATGTCAAGCTCATACGTGTGATTTACCGCTATTAAATGTTCTTTATATGATGAGTATTTAGTAGTTCGTATTTTTTAACTGGTTTTGTGATTGATAATATATGTTTTTATGCATTTGAGCATAAATTCGATAAGTACTTTATTTCTAAGAATTTACACGTTCGTTTCTTGACTTTCTTGCAGAAATCAATGTGCAAGGAACCTGAAGAGTCAAAGGTTTGTGTGTCATTTGTTTATTATCTTTTGTTCACATAAATATGCCTGGTCAAATATTGTGATCTTTTGCATAAAAAGAAGAAGAATAATTTGTATGTGAATGGAAGGCTCTAACTTTCCATGGACTACTATGCATACATATGGTACCTCGTAGAATATACCAGTCCATGTATCCTAAGGTTCCTCTGGGGATAAAATCCCACTACTCTTTAAATTTTGATTAGCTACGTATCAAAAAATATCTCCTTCAGTTTGTGTGGGCATAGATTTTTTTACTTGTTATGTCATTTTCATGTTAGTAACATTATGTTTTAATTGAGACATCAGAACACTCAGTTAGGAGAAGATTTGATACATGATGCTAAAGAAATGAGGGCTAAGCCACTGAAACATGATATGAATGCTATATTTAAATATTCAGTTCATGATAAGGATGTCATTATTCTACATGTGTTTTTAACTTTCCTGTGCACTGATTCTTGATGTTCTGAATTTGGGCCCTTAATTTGAATCATGAACTATGGTTAACATTTTCACACATCTTTTGCAGGAAGTACCACCATTGGATGTACCTGAACTTCTGGCCTACTTTGTGAAACAGTCTGGACCATTTTTGGATCAACTTGGAGTCAGAAGAGGTACATAGTTATGCATAAATTATATGGGTTTCATTGCCATGCTTTCCTGCTCTATATATCTTATCTGGAAGTTTATGTCTGTGTTTTGTTTTAATCACTAAGCTTTTCTAGCAACATCTCTTACAATGGAAAGTAGTTTTCTGTTTCAACATTCCTGTTTTCATTAATCACCAAGATGGTTCCACCCTTTTTTAACTCTTAAAACAATTATATGTCTTTCTCTTCTTGGAGTAATAAAATGGGAGCAAATAATCTGCCAAAAGTGTGTGATCCACAATTAAATATTTTCATTTGCTTGAAAAATCGTATTGTACTCTAATTTTAATATAAGGTGAGGGAGTATAAAACAATCTTGGATTAATGTGAGATTTTGTGAGACTTTCAAACGATGTAATATTTTGTAATAAAATTCATTCTATAGTTATTCAACATTGAATTTATCACAAAACTCATCAATTAATAACTTTCTATAATATTTATTTCTCATAAAATTTGCTGTAGGGTTGAAAGCATACTTTGTGTATATCATGCTTATAAAATTGCATACTAATCCAAGATCTTTTTGTACTCCATCAAAATGCCTTGAAGTTAATTTAGAGAAATACTGCTCAAATTAAATATTAACCATTTGATCATAAACTTGTTCTTGTTTAAATTGTCTGAAATTTGTCATTTAAGAATTACATTATTATATTTTAATAGTTGGATTGATGTACCAAATGTATTAGTCAGCAAGTGTTAATTTCATTTTATCTGCCCTTCAGTTTTGATGATTTGTCCAAATGTGATTGCATTGCAGACATATGTGACAAGATAGTAGAAGGCTTGTATAGCAAACACAAGAACAATCTTCTACTGCAGTCCCTGTCTGGGGAAGAAACTTCTGTTGTTGGGAATGGAAACATAAATGATGAATTGGATTCGCGAATAGCAAGTGTCCTTCAGAGCACTGGGCACCGGTGTGATGGTGGACTCTGGACAGACCATGCAAAGCATGATATTTCAGACAATGAAAGACATGTTGCAATAGTAACAACTGCTAGTCTTCCATGGATGACGGGAACAGCTGTAAACCCACTATTTCGAGCTGCATATTTATCACAATCTGCAAAGCAGAGAGTCACACTGCTGGTTCCGTGGCTTTGTAAATCAGATCAAGAACTAGTTTATCCCACCAATCTCACTTTTACTTCACCAGAAGAGCAAGAAGTTTATATACGTAACTGGCTTGAGGATAGGATTGGTTTTAAGGCAGACTTCAATATTTCTTTTTATCCTGGGAAGGTAACTTTTTTATAAAGCTATATTCTAACATGTTTCATATTATTACTGTCAATTCTTACACTTTGTCCTTCTTGTGTGTAGTTTTCAAAAGAAAGGCGTAGTATAATACCTGCTGGAGATACTTCTCAATTTATACCATCCAGGGATGCTGATATTGCTATCCTGGAAGAACCAGAACACTTGAATTGGTATCATCATGGTAAGCGGTGGACGGACAAATTCAACCATGTTGTTGGTATTGTGCACACAAATTACTTAGAATACATCAAGAGGGAGAAAAACGGGGCACTCCAGGCATTCTTTGTAAAACACATAAACAACTGGGTTACAAAAGCATACTGCCACAAGGTATGAGAATTATCATCCTAGTTTTTAAACTTGGATTAACTGTGGAAATATTAGAAATGAATTTGGTGTTTTTCTTGATTAATTTGTCATGGAGTTCTATTATCAGAAGAGAATTAAACGAGACAAAAGGGGCTAAATTTTTTATGATTTATATTCAGGTTCTTCGTCTCTCGGCTGCAACTCAAGATTTACCCAAGTCTGTAATTTGCAACGTTCATGGTGTGAATCCCAAGTTCTTAAAAATTGGAGAGAAGATTGCTGCAGAGAGGGAGCTAGGGCAGAAAGCCTTTACAAAAGGAGCATATTTCTTGGGAAAGATGGTATGGGCAAAGGGCTATAAGGAGTTGATAGATTTATTAGCAAAGCATAAGGCTGACCTTAATGGCTTCAAGTTGGATGTATTTGGAAATGGAGAGGATGCCAATGAAGTTCAGAGTGCGGCTAGAAGGTTGGATTTGAATGTCAACTTTCAGAAAGGAAGAGATCATGCAGATGATTTTCTTCACGGGTAAGAATAATTTGAAATGAAGCTTCAATTTTTAAATTAAGATATATTTACGGGAAACGTTGTTGTGAAACATACATAAATGATTTTATGTTAGGGAAAGTGCAGTCACCAAAACTGTTCTTTTCATACACGTATAAATACAGCTTCACCTACACAGGATACCTGCTCATGCTTTACGTACCCAGACACTAATACCGAACTTGTTTTTATTAAATTTGGTTCCCCTTTTGACATATTTTATCTACTGTATTGAAGGTACAAAGTCTTTATAAATCCTAGCATTAGTGATGTGCTATGCACAGCTACAGCTGAGGCACTTGCAATGGGAAAATTTGTGGTTTGTGCTGATCATCCATCAAATGAGTTCTTCAGGTCGTTTCCCAACTGTTTAACTTACAAGACATCTAAAGACTTCGTGGAAAAAGTGAAAGAAGCATTAGCAAATGAGCCTTATCCTCTTACACCTGAGCAAAGATATCAACTTTCTTGGGAGGCTGCTACTCAAAGATTTATGGAATATTCCGAGCTTGACAGTGTCTTGAACAAGGAAAAGGATGGTCCAAAGTCAAGTGCAGATAATGGAAAGCTCATTGCTAAGTCAGTGTCAATGCCTAATTTGACAGACCTAGTAGATGGAGGCTTAGCATTTGCTCACTACTGTCTCACTGGGAACGAATTCCTGAGATTATGTACTGGAGCAATACCTGGGACACGTGACTATGACAAGCAGCACTGCAAAGATCTTCATCTCTTGCCCCCTCAGGTAGAAAATCCTATCTATGGCTGGTGAATAGATTGACTAGTTTGTGTGTGTGCTGGAGGAATCCTTGTGACCCCAGATTATGTGACAAGAGCACTGCATAAACCCTGCCTTTTTGTAGAAAATGTTATCAATGGCTGGTGAATAGATTTAGTGTTTGAATTTGTAGTTTCTGCTTTGTGTAATAGTTATTGATTGTAATTAGGAGCCTGCTAAGTTTTCAATCCTTAATTTTTGTATTTGTATTTGTTTTTGTAAGTGATGTAGTTTATTATTTTCAAAACACATGTAGAACGATATTGTTCAGTTCTACCATGTAATGACAAAAACAGAACGTTCTCCCACGTAACTTGTGGGTGCATACTGTAATGAATATGCATCAGTTTAACATGGAATAACTGTTCAGTTAATATGATAACCCAAGTGCACAAGCCAAAATGGTTGCAGTGGTTATTTCCTTGAAACTTCAGCCAAGTGTCATAAGTCACGATAATTGAGAGAAATGGCCGTCCACGATATTTGTTGTTAACAGCTTGAACTGGGGACGGAATATCCCCACTCATCAGGACTGAGTAACACTTATTGTAACAGTTGATACAGATCAGTACGAGGACATTCTGGAGTGCCCACTTTCCACAGAAATCTCTGGTGATTTTTGAGGTTAGTGGGAAGGAGGGAGAAGTGGAGGAATAAAGGGCATTGCTGCTGTGACATGTGTTGACCTTGATCTGGGATAATCTTCTTTCTAATTTTTTTTAGTGCCAAAAAAGAAAAGAAAAAAAATGGCTCTTTCGATCAAAAACAATTTTTTTTTAAAAAAAAAAATCATTTGACGAGGGGTGTTTTGTGTGTGTGTGTGTATATATATATATATACGAGTTCGCTTTTTCTACAGTCAATGTAGATAACTTATCTACATTGAGCTCAAAACGACGTCGTTTTGAGACGGAAATCAAGGTATTTTTGTAATTATAATTTATTTTAGGGTTATAATAGTCTTTTCTATCGTAATTTTTTAATTTTTCAACCCAAAACGACGTCGTTTTGAGAGCGAATGTAGATAACTTATATATATTCATTTTAGAAACATTAAAGCATATATATATATATAGAGGTAGGATCCTTTGACACCGGTGTCAAATTTCAATTTTGACACCTCATCTAAGAGCCGTTAGATCAAAAAAGATCAATGGTGTCACATGTTTGCAAATCAGAGTCGTTGATCTTTTTTGATCTAACGGCTCTTAGATGAGGTGTCAAAATTGAAATTTGACACCGGTGTCAAATTTGAAGTTTGACACCTCAGCTGAGAGTCGTTAGATCAAAAAAGATCAATGGTGTAACATACTTGCAAATCAGAGTCGTTGATCTTTTTTGATCTAACGGCTCTCAGATGAGGTGTCAAACTTTAAATTTGACACCGGTGTCAAAGGATCCTGCCTCTCTCTCTCTATATATATATATATATATATATATGGGAAAAGTGTTTGTCATTTTAAATGACATAACGTTATGTCATTTTAAGAAAGATATAGACACAAAATATCAATTTTTATTTAAAATTTAAATTAAAAAAAATCATCCACTCTCTTTCATGATTTTCATTTCTTGTGTCTATCTCTCTCCTAAGATGACATAATTTATGTCATTTAAAATGACAAACACCAAACTCTATATATATATATAAACACTATCTATTTTTTAAATTTTAGAATAGAAATTAGATAATATCTCTAACATGTTTTCGCTCTGGTTTACAACTTTTTATTCTCATAAAAAACACAGAAAATTAAGAGTTTTTATTAACGGTTATGTTTATATCATTTTATATGAGATAAACAACTCTTCTATACAGACAAAAAGAGGTTGGGTCCCACCACTCTTTTTTCTCTCTCCTTTTACCTGTGGTTCTACTTATACTTTTATTTCTACAACATGAGATAAATTTTTTTCCTCCAACATAAGAAAAATATATCCCTTTTATTAATGGCAATGATGTAAACATTGAACCATTTTGGATTTGCCTTCTCAAGAAACAATTCGAATTTTCCGTACCTTCCCTAACCACATTATCATAAAGTGCGTAAATTAAGCTAAACCAAACTCTCAGTTCCAATTTGTGTCCGAAAGTTATATCATTCCCAACATACCCAAGAATTACATTTGGAAAAAATAAAATTGTTTTCTTTTGCAGTGCTGCCTCTACTATTAAGATCATCATAGAAACGTTTGCTTGACGAAGACAACCCTATAGATAATTTTCTTTTTTTGTTTTATTACTTTTAAACTGTTCTAAAAGAATTTTATCAAATATAATTTTCTTCTTTTAATCTGAAAAATAATTCTTATAATATTCTACAAAATAATTTTAGAAAAAAAAAAACTATAAACAAACAGGCCCATTTTTTCTTATAATCTATTTTACAAAATAGTTTTAGAAAAGAAAAGAAAAAACCCATAATCAAACAGGCCCATTATTGAAGGAGTACGAATGAAAATTTAAAGTTTTCAACTCAAGTCCAACCCGTTTAGGTTGAACATGTCATGAAGCGTCATACCTTCATGGGGGGAGGAGTTTGTAACTTCTTATCCTACTTTGGCTAATTCATAAGTGACGTTGGAATAATTGATATTTTGTAAATTATTGCATGATTTATGAGCAAGTTTCAATTTTTGTGTTGGTAAACGATTTATAATTTTATTCTAAATTTTGGATAAAATTAATAGTTTGTTTTGATATTATGAAAAATTCTTCATTATCTTGAGTTTTTCTATACCAATAAAAGTTGAGTGACTTACAACTGACTTCAGCATTAATTTTTTTTTCTTCCAGTCGTAACCTTTTCGATTGAGGAGACTCCATACAAATTAGTAGGCCTAATAGATAATTTTAAAGTGGAAATGGATACTCTTACGTGGAAAAGTGGTCATGTGATTATGTTATTTGATCACAACTAGGGATGTTCGCGGTCTGAATTAGATTGATTTTGGAAGCAAAAATCATCTGATCCAATTCCTTCGGTTTGATCATGTAATAATCCATTCGGTTTGGATTTTTTTTCAAATCCGATCCGATCCAATCCAATTTTTTTGGGTTTGGATTGGATCGATTTTTGGTTTTTTGAAAAATCCTAAAATTTGTTTCATGATTATTGTGCAAATAACATCTTTTGTATATATTGGCTTCGTAATTTTTTTTTTAAATACAAAAGCATCATTAAACGATAATATAATTTTTTTTTGGACAATTACATACGAAGCTCTACATTGATGAAATTTTGCTGATGAGATGTGACTAGGTTTTTTCTTGAGTTTAGTTGATGAGTTAATGGGTTTAAAATTTTTTGAACTATAATTGAGGAAAGGTCCAAGTAGATAGAAGAGAATTAATATATTGGATCAGTTTGGATTTGATCGGTTTTCATGAGCCAATCCGAAAACTGATCCAATCCAATTAAAATTTGCGGGTTTTTTTTTTTCGGTTTTTCGGTTTTCGATTTATTCGATTATCGATTTTTCGGTTCGGTTACCGCGGTTTGAATCGGTTTGGATCGGTTGATGAACACCCTAATCACAACCACTCATTTAAATGTTATATATATTTTTTTCTCTTATCTCATCATCAATAAGTGGTTATGATCAAATAACATGATCACTTTTAACATAAAAGAATCTATTCCCATTTAAAGTTGAGTTCAAAAGTTCAACTAAATAATTCATTTTAGCTAAACTTTGGTGTATTCTTTATTTATCCGTCCTTTTCTATTTTCTCTTTTCAATTTTTTTTCTTCGGAATTCGATTTCATTTTCTAAAATCAAGAATGACACAGGTGTGGTAAGTAGGGAGCTAAAAAGAAAAATCCTATGTGGGGAGTCTAGGATCGCGCGCTAACCCAAGTTAATGTGCTCTGGCTGATTCGTGCATTACCATTACCTTTTATTGAGCACCAATCTTTTTCCTTTAGCAGATCAACTTTTGTCCTGCAATATATTATAACCAGTGAATTACCGGCGCGATGTTAGGAGAAAAAAAATAAAATATTTGTCGTTTGCCGTGGTTGATTAATCGCACTGCAAATTTTATACTTACAAAAACCTGTGTTGCTATCTTGTTTTATATTTCAGGTGGAAAAAATTACAGCATTGATATAGAATTTTACAAATGTCAATCATAAACAAAAATCTTTTATATAGAGTGATCAATATTATGCAAATCAAATATAGTTATCTAGTCGATGAGTTATGAAAAAAATAAATATGCCATAGTTGACTATGTTAAAATGAGGATGGCTAAAAAGAGAAAAATGCATACAACTTATTGCTAACTATAACAGCCACTAATAAAATCAAGGTAACAATCAGACTAAGCAAATATGAAATTAAAAGATCAGCTTGTACCTATAATAAGAAAACGCTATTAATTCAGTATCATTCTGTAGCAATCATTGGAGGGATGAGTTCAACACATACCAAACATGCGATTTTCTATATTTATGCATTACCAGGAACATCTTCTTCTACCATCGTATTTATGCCTACGATACAAAATGCAAATGCTCATTAAATAAATTACGCTAATATGTTAACACCCAGAAGTAATAGTCTCAGCAAAAAAATAGGTTATTTTTCATTTAGAAGCCAAAAAACGTTGTTTGAAAAGGATTTGAAAGCAAATTAATCAAATGGTCATGTATGAGTCATATTTTTTTACTTACACTGGAACAAGTGTGTCTAAACAGCATTAAATCAATACACATGCTAAAAACTTGTAACAATATAAAGAACCCACGATGATAAATTTTTAAAAAACAACAACATACATTCGGGTCCACCAAAGACTTAAAGAATGAGGTGACAATAGCTTCGCTGCTTCAAACACTTGAAACATGATATCTTGGCTCATTACATGACTCCAAATTGTTTTTTTACGTTGACTTTAAATAACATGGATTTTTCATTAATAACGTGTAGTTTTCTTGAATAATATTCCAAATCAGCACCCTACATAAAAAACTCCTTCAAAGTTAAGTATAACTCGTGCGATGCATGAGAAAAAAAGAATAGTGAAATTTTAATTATAAAAAAAATAGAGAAATTTTAATTTAATTATAAAAATATGTTGGTGGGCCGGCCCTCCGGGCCGAGCTCAGTTTGTCACCTCCAACTATTAGCATGCAATAGGTTTTTATATTTTTCCTAAAAAAAAAGCTCTTATAGTTGCCTCTAGGTTTTTATATTTTAACTCAGAAATAAACTTTCATTTATTATAATTAGATTTACAAAATAATAATAAATAAATTTTTTTTGCAAGGATTTGTGTCGTTAGTATTTGAAATTTTATAAATTAGTATTTACAAATATTGAAATTTGAATTAGGAATTTAATTATAAAAGAAGAATTGTGAAATTTTAATTTAATTATTATAACGTGTTGGCAGGCGGGGCGGGCAGGCCCTCTGGGCCAAGCTCAGTTTGCAACATTTAACTATCAGTATTTTATGTAAATAATTAATTTTTTGAAAGGATTTATGTCATTAGTATTTTGAATTTTACAAATTTGTATTTACAAAAATTAAAATCAGATTTAGGAATTAATTATAAAAGAAGAATGATGAAACTTTAATTTAATTATAAAAAAGTTTTGGTGGGTCGGCCCTTCGGGCCGAGCCCAGTTTGCCACCTCTAACTATTAGGATGTAATAAGTTTTTATATTTATCCACAAAAAAGGCTCTTATAGTTGCGTCTAGATTTTTATATTTTATCTCAGAGATAAAATTTCATTTATTACAATTAGATTTACAAAATAATAATAAATAATTATTTTTTGCAAGGATTTGTGTCGTTATTATTTAGAATTTTATAAATTTGTATTTACAAAAATTGAAATCTGAATTAGGAATTTAATTATAAAAAAAGAATAAATTTTATTTAATTTAATTATAAAAACGTATTGGCGGGCGGGGTAGACATACCCTCTGTGCCAAGCTCAGTATGCAACCTTTAACTATTAGCATCCTTATATTTTTTGTTTAATCTATAATTTTATATTAAAATTCAAATTTGATATATATATATATATATATATATATATATATATTTATATATGTATATATCTTTTTCCCATTACAGAAATATTAAATGCTGAACTCTTTTTTCACTTATCAAATTCAAAAATTAGAATTTTAAATGTTAAATAATTTTCCACCCAATAAATATAATAATTAATATTATTAATAAGTTTAATAATTTTCCATACAGAAAGTAGTGGAAAAAAAGCATAGAAGGATATGCACATTCTCCAAGTAATAATTTCTAATTTTCATTTACAATATAAGAAATTGTGTTTTTTTTTTTTACTTTTACATCAAAAGAATCAAAGCTTAATTTATTTCTTATATATTAAATTAAAAATCGTATTGTTATAGTGATTAAATTTTATTTTTATTTTTTTACAGAATGATAAATGTCATTTTTTATTTTTTGTTTAACTTCTTTTATTTTCATTGTGCATATTTTTTTTTATTTGTAACACAAATATGATGAACAAACATGAGTTGATACAAAAAGTATTCTGCTAAATCGAATGTTTGGGGAATTGAATTGAATTGCATTTAATATAATCGAATATTTTTGTATTAATTAGACATATTTTTGAAAAATTTAAGACTAATCCAAAAGATAAAAAATGTTGAATGATATCTAAAAAACACAATAGAAAATGCCTCACCAAGAACTCTTCATTTGCTTTGGAATTGAGAACGCTTTTATATCCTTGAAGAACAGACTCCTCAATTTTTTTTTATCATCTAAGCATTGAAAATATTCGCCTTCAAATCCTGGGAGAAATTTAAAAAGTTTTAGATATTAACATGCAACACAAAAAGAAAGCATGAAAAGTAATAATCGTGGGGTCAAATATACCTTCTAGGTAATTTGCTAGCTTTTCTATATTGGATGCTACCAACTTGTGAAGGTCTTCGCCTGCCCAAATTGGATAAACCAATATGGAGATGACCATGCATATTGCTACCCCTATTAAAATTGTAGAAAGTCTCTGATGAACAAGCTCAAAGAGTTGCACGACTTTGTAACCCGATACAGTAACCAAACAAAATGTCAATATGAATATCAACACCCATAATCATATCTTTGCTTGATCTTGGGAAAAATCTGAAAAACGTAGACCCTGCAGCTGCAAACATAGAACACAAACAATTAAAGCTAAACACACACACACAGACACACACACATATACATTGTTTGGGAAGCAAACGTTATATCAATTTCAAGCCTCAAATTCATGCCGAGAAATATAATCATCTTTTTCTTTGTTCAAATTATATAGTACCTAGAATGAAGACAAGGGTCCCAAATACAACAGGTTCTCCCTTTTCTCCAAAAACAGTAGCTAAGTGTTGGCCTCCAAACCCTAAAGCACCAGCTAATAGTGTAGCACATCCTCTATTTAAACCTTTGCTGAGGGTTGCACCTGGTCAAGACCAAATCAAACATATATGTTCAAGAATTATTCTTTAACTATGTAATAAGGTGAAATATTATTATATACGAAGTCTTATGTGATGTCTGAACTTACCTACGATGAATTCAAATAGGACGACCACCGTCAGAACAACACACATTCCTGCCAATCCGAAACCATCATAAAGAGGCCTTAAGTAGTAAAACAAGGACACTAATGTGAGAGCAATTCCCACTTTTAATGAGTGAATTACTCGTCTGGGGTCATCTTGGCCAATCTTCTTTATACTGCTTGCGACATTGATCATCTTGGACTTGGAGTTACTGGGCAAAGCCTTTAGGAAGATCCCCAATGAGAGAAAAATTCAGCCTTGTTTAATTGTGTTGTTGACTCAATATCCATAACTAGATATAGAGTGGAGAACAATTTGCCAAGAATTAAGGGTACTGTGTTATGGCAAGTTAATTTCAAAACGAACGAAATAACAAATATGAAGTAGTGCTATCAAGGTTGAGAATCTTGAGGAAAAAAGCCTTTGAAGAACGATACTTATAGGAACAAAAGTATAGTTGTTTCGCGCAGCTAAGATTTTTTTTTTATACCAAATCTTGTATCTCACTTGGTGCAAGATTGAGCAGTGGAATTGATTTAAAGGAAAGAGTGATACTTATTGGAACAAAAGTATAGCTGTTTTGCGCAACTAAGATTTTTTTTTTTTTTTTTACCGAATCTTGAAGCTCAGTTGGTGCAAGATTCAGTGCAAGATTGAGCAGTGGATTTGATTTAAGTGGATTTGATTTAAAGGAAAGTTCACGTTTGTCCAATTTATTATGTATTAAGGATTAATATGAGCATGAAATTAATTTAAAAATAATTAAAAGATATGAGATTGTAATTAAAGTGTTATTTTATTTTCAGTTCTATTCTTATAAAAAAATTTATATTTGCAAGAGTTTTCAGTTTAATAAAAAGATAAATTGGAAGGCTCAAGTGGATTTATTTTGAATTTTTGAATCATATAATTGATTGAAGATCTTATTAAATATTCTCTTGAATATTTTTAAGGAAAGTTTTTCTTTAAATATAAAAGAGAAGATTTTAATGATTTGATTAAAGATATTATTGGAGTTTTTAATGAAGATTCTATTGAAGATCTTATGGAAAATTAAAAGATATGATTTCATCACTATTAAAAGGAAACTCTTGGAAACAGGAGAGGAGACTGACACAGTTGGAAAAAGAGGAACGCAAAGACCAGAGGAATCCCGTTTTTCAGAGCTCAAGACGAAGATTGAAGAAAGATCAAAGCTTTGCAGTGACGATCGATCATCATTCTTCTTCTTCTACTCACTTCATCTAATTTAATTTCTTTTCTTTTGATATTTTCTTAAAGCTAGATATGAATATGTATGGCTAATTCTCTTAATAGTTATGAATATGGATCCAATAATTACTCTTACGTTGATTTAAATTATTTTTCAATAAAACTATGTCTCAATTGTTATGTGTTTATCCCGATTTATTTGTTTGAATTTCTTATATGACTTGATCAACTATATAGGAATAAAGAGGGTAAAATTCTAAATAAAAATATTTAGGATTTTAATTTGGACTAGGATAAATATTAATTTTGCTTGTTCTAGACATAGACATGTGAGAGTTGCAAACGTGTGAGACTCATTGCATTTAATGCTTAATCTGAAAATGGTTTATAAGAAATTAGGATTCTAATTAGATTAAAGGGTTAAATAACTAAGACGTTAGATATTTAACCAATTAATATTTAGACGATGAATCATTTGATAACAAAAGAGTTAGAATTTTATTGAATTAATTTAATTCACTTAAGGGGATCAAATGTGAAGTAGACCCTAACTGCATTTTTATTCTTGATTTAAAACTCATTTTTATTAGTCTTTTACGTAATTTCTTCAACTGTCATCTATATTTAATTTTAATTAAATATTAATTACCTGTGAAAATATTTTTGAATTGTCTAATTTAGATAAAAATAGTAAATTATTGCTTGAATTTAATCCTCGTGGAAATGATACTTTTACTTAATCACTTTATTACTTGTACGACCCATATGTTTTGCCGTGATCGCAACAAAAAGGCTTCGGTTTAATCCCCACGTGTCAACATTGAGAGAGATTTAAAATCTTTATCTCTCCTGATAGTCTCATAGCAGACTCAAAGAGTCGAACCTTATGAAAATATTGAAGAAAACATATTCGCCTCAAAAAGATAATTAAAATATTTTTTAAAAAAACATATCGGATATATGATCAAGTTATTGTCTTTTTGCTGAAAGAGAGAGACGGGTTTTCTTAGAGAAAGTATTTTGTCACGGCAAATATATTATTATAATTAAATACAAAATGCCCATGACTCTAAAAGTTAAAACTTTTACGAATTCAGCGCACTTGCCAAAATAACAAGTACCAGAACTTACATAGACAGGGAATGTCAGGATATATACCTCGAACTAGGAATATTTTAGTTCCGAAAGCTGAATAAACAAAGTTAATTTACTAGTGTTCGCGCATATATAAGAAAGATATAGTATAGGGCAAGTAATTGGCACATATGCTTTAGTCGCAGTCCCTGAATCGCTGTATCCCACCTCCTTCTTTTTTAAAATTCCCGTCTTAATAAATTTCAATGTTTTATTTTATGAAGTTTACACTTTATTCACCTTCATGTTTTATAAATATTAAATTTACCACGTTAATTCTCTTATTCCTAATGCTTTATTTTAAAAAATTAGTCTGAACTAGCCAGTTTGACAAAATAATAAGTGAATCAGTCAAGTGTCCAGTTCATTTAGCCAACAAAATTGGTCGAGTAAAAAACCAATAAAGAATCAGCCAAAACAATGGTTCTGTTGTGATTTGACAATTGAACCTTCATTTGACTAAAAAAATATTTTCAATTGAACTAAAAATTACAAAAATATTGGTTCTTACTATTAATTCTTTTATCTTACAAGACACACAATATGATATGCTTTATTGCTTGATGTGTTTATAATAAAAATATGTGTTCAATTATCACCGGTTGGAACACAGTAAGTGAATCATAAATAATATTTTCACTAATTTGATGACTAATCTAATTGTAAATTTTTTGATTAAAATTAACAACTTATTTAATTTTATTTAAAAAATGATATTTAAAAAAAAAAGAAAAAAGAATGACAATAAATTCTCATACAAGGTCCCGAATTTAATTACCACGAAAGGTAAATATCAATTAATTTACATTATCTAAATCCAATATTTAATCTTTTTAAAAATATTTGAAAAGTACAATATTAAAACTTACGTCGTATATATATATGTACCAAAATAGTTTCGCCCCTCTCTCACGCCAGCTTTTTAATTCATATTAATTATAGATAAAAATATTTTTGCAGATAATGCAGATAAGTTATGTGCATTTACTTTTAAAATAACATTGTTTCAGGATTGAAAGATTAGAAAATTATAATTATAAAGACTATAATAATCCTGAAATAAATTAAAATTATAAAAATATCATGATTTCCGCTTCAAAATGACATCGTATTGGATTTACTGCAGATAACTTATTTGCAGTAACTACAGAAAAAATGAATCCTTAATTATATGTAGTTTGATTAGAAGGTGGAAAAATGACGAAGCATGCATAAGTCAGTCATTTGCTGACATTAAAATAATAAAAAATAAAAAATAAATCCCTTAAAATATTGGACCAACCACAGCCTTTAAAAAAAGAATGAAGATATTTTTTTTTTAAAGAAAAGCAAGACAAAACAAAATGGTAGGGTTGGCAAAACGGGTCAATCTGGCTCAACCCGACCCAACCCACGTTCAACCCGAAAAAAATGAGTCGGGTTAGAGTTGACTCGAAAAATAAACGAGCTAGAAAACTCAACCCAACTCAACCCGAGTTTGGTTAGGGTTGGTTCGCGGATTGACTCGAAAAAATAGAAAAATAAAATAAAATTCCATTTATGCTATAACTTCTAAATCTTTTTCCTAAATTATTAATTCATTCAATACAAAGACATTATATAGATAACCCATAGAAAATTTCTTTTGCATTTGGACGTGGACTTATTGACAGTTGGCACTACATTCACACTGTCACACATACTATAAAAAAGGTCCTTAATGCACGATTTTGGACTTATTGGCAACTGCAGGGTATTTTCGTTTAGGTCTTTGGAATTGGAATTTTAAATTTTAGCTTTCCACTTTACCTTCATTAATTTTTATAATTTTATATTTAAAAAAAAAACCATAACCCGCGAGGCAACCCGTTTGATCCGTGGGTTGACTCGATTTTTTTTAGTTGAAACGAGTCGAGCTGACTTGAGTTACTAATTCATTTTTCTTAACCCAACCCAGTTCATTTTAGCCGGATTTTGACTCATTTTTGTCGAGCCTACAAAATGGTATTCACTTTATGAGCAGACTTTTAAGTTGATTCTGACATGAGGACTTCATATCTATAATTAAACTCAAGAATCACTCCACCTAAGAAGCTCAGATACAAATAATATATTAATTAGGTGCTGCTGAATTCTGAAATAAATAACTCAGCAACCAGTTCATTAACGCATGAAATGAAAATATATACTCGCAAGAGTAGCCTCATCTTAAAACATAAAGAAAGAACCTAGTAATTAAAAATTAATATTCACGTCCAACAGTATTTAGTGTATTCCTCCTGCAGATAAAGCAGAAACATGTCTGCATAAGAACTTTCGAATCTCCAATGAGTTCAACTAAAGTGAATTTAACATATCACCAAAAAAACATTGAATTTAGCATTGTTAAAAAATCACTTCAATCCAAAATCTTAAGGCATTTGTTAAGGGTCTTTTTAATGATTTATATTATATTCTCTAACACACCCTATCACGCAAGAGCTCTTTGGGCTTGAAGCGTGGATATGACACAAGCCCATTGTTGGTCTGCCTTGTGCTACACAAGCCCATTTTTTTTGTCTGCCTTGTGTTTTTTATTAATTCCACCTGAAAATGAGGGCGGTGAGGATCGAACTTGTGACCTTGTGGTCACTTAAGCTCTGATACCATGTTAAGAACCACTTCAAGCAAAAACCTTAAATGGTTCTTTACATAGTATCAGAGCTTAAGTGACCACGAGATCACGAGTTCGATCCTCACCGCCCTCACTTTCAGGTGGAATTAAGAAAAAACACAAGGCAGACAAAAAAAAATGGGCTTGTGTAGCACAAGGCAGACCAACAATGGGCTTGTGCCATATCCACGCTTCAAGCCCAAAGGGCTCTTGCGTGAGGGGGTGTGTTAGAGAATAAAATAAAAGCAATAAAAAGGCCCTCACCTAAAACCTTAAGGTTTTGGGTTGAAGTGGTTCTTTACATGATATCAG